ATCTCCATCTCATAGGAACCAGCCTAGGGCGGTTGGTGCACATAATGGTTCCCTCTTCCCCTTGTGAAATTAGAGGAGGTCAGACTCCACTATGACATTTTTACCCAGACTATGGCAAGTAAAAGATAGAAGAAATATCCAAGCAGATGACACAACTCTCTACATAGAAAATCTCAAAGATTTCATAAGAAAGCGCCTAACCCAAACCCACTGTTGTGGAATCAGTTCCATCTCATAGAGACCCTGTGTAAGATTTCCCAGGCTGTACATCTCTGATCTGAGCAGAAATCCTCATCTTTCTCCCAAGGAGTAGCTCATGGGTTTGAACTGCTGAACTTCTGACTAGCAGTCCAATGTGTAACCCATTATGTCACCAGGGCATAGTATGGTACTAGAGCCAACAAATTGATTCAGTGAGATTTCTAGGTCCAAGGTCAATAGACACCCCCCCACCACCACCACCAAAAAAATCAACTGAGTTTCTATACATTAAGACTGAACAATCTGAAAAGGAAATTAAGAAAATAATTCAATTTAAGATACAGATAAATAATAAATGCCATGAATACATTTAAATAGGGTGTCAACGGCATAGTAAAAACTATAAATCATCTCTGGAAGACATTTTTTTAAACCTAAATAATCACACAACCTGCGCTCATGGATTGGAAGATTTAACATCTACCCAAAGTGATCTATAGTGTGTGGTAGATACATCATCTGGTGTCAACTTTCAATGGTCCTCTAGTCTACCCAGACTAACACATATAGATTCAGTGAAATCCTTCTAAAATTTCTAACAGTCTTATTTTCATAAAGAAGTCAATTTCTATGGACTTTCAAGGGGTCGTGAATAGTCAAAGAGATCTTGAAAAAGAACCAAGTAGGAGCACTCTCTCATCCCCATTTCAAAACAAACAGTAATCAAAACAGCACGAATGCTGATGTAATCATAGACACCTAGATTATATAATAATAGACACCTAGAATAATGCAATAGAGTTAAAGATCTAGCTGTTTGCCATCTTCCCCAATCCTCTGCAGCCACAAGCATGAAAGTCGAGCTGTGTAGTTTTAGTAGGTACAGGATTTACCCCGGGTGTGGGCAGCATTATGCCAGGACCCACAGGAAGGCTTTTCAATTCCTTATGCGCACTTCAAGTCAGCATTTCTTTCCAAGAGGTATTTTCAGCATAGAAACTGGACTGTCCTCTATAGAAGGAAGTACAAAAAGGGGGATATGCAAAGAAAATTCAAAAGAAAAGCACTTGCTGTGTAGTCAATCACAGAGGCCATCGCTGGTGCATCTCTTGCTCATACAATGACCAAGAGGAATCAGAAACCTGAAGTTTGAAAGGCCCAGTGAGAACAGGCTATTAGGGATGCTAAGGAAGCAAAGAAGGCAAAGCAAGCATGAAAGCCAAGATAGATAACCCTTCAGAAACAATAATGGGAGTAATGATTCCGAGGGTATAGCATGGGAGGGGGGGGGCAGCAGGAAGAGGGAGAAGGGGGAACTAATAGCAATGATAACGGTATAATCCCACTCGAGGGGAATAACAGAATTGCAATTGAATGGATATACTGAATGTTGTAAGATATGGATGATAATAATTTATAACATATATACCATAACAATAAGGGCTCCTGTGAGGGGGAAGGGGGATAAAGGGAAGCTGATACCAAGGAGTTCAAGAAGAATGAAAATATTTTGAAACTGATGGTGGCAGCAATTGTATAATCATCCATGATCTAATTGAATTATGAATTGTTTCCACATCTGTAAGAGCTCCTAATAAAATGATTAAAAAAGAAGAGGAAGAAGACAGCGATGGCTACTGCTCAGGCTCCCACCCAGGCAGCACCTAAGCAAATGACGGTGAATCCTCGGAGACTGTTTCTGCTCTCTGGTTGGTGGAAAACACTAAGTTGACTAATAAAGACGCACCTGTAACTAAAAAATAAAAGAATTGAAAGTCTAGAAATAAACCCATACACCAATGGCTAGCTGATTTTTGACAACACTAATAAATCCATTCAATGGGGGAAAGAAGAGTCTCTTCAATAAATGGTGCTGGGGAAACTGGATCTATACACATGCAAGGGAGTTAAGTTGGTGCCATTCTTGAAGCACATGTGAAAATTAACTCAAAATGGCTCAAAGACTGTACTTATGGACTAAAACGATAAGTTTCTTAGACTGTAGCTTTCCGTCATGGATTCTGTGACACTAAAAGCACAAGCAACACTAGGCAAGCTGGAGAGTAGACTTTATCAAAATTAAAAATATTTGTACATCAAAAGGCTTTATCAACCAAGTGAAAAGACAACCTACAGACAATATTTGGTGACCGAGGTGTCGAAGGGATCACTGAAGACAAATGGGTGCATAAGCAACAGTGGCGAAGAAAGCTGATGGTGCCCAGCTATCAAAAAGTATAGCATCTGGGGTCTTAAAGGCTTGAAGGTAATAAAGTGGCCATCAAGTTCAGAAGCAATAAAGCCCACATGGAAGAAGCACACCGGCCTATGCGATCACAAGGTGTCGAAGGGATCAGGTATAAGGCATCATCAGAACAAAAAATCTTACCATAGTGAATGATGGGGGGAGCGCAGAGTGGAAAGCCAAAGCCCATGTCTAGACCACTGGAGATTCCTTTACAGAAGGGTCTTGGGGAGGAGACGAGCCAGTCAGGGGGCAATGTAGCAACGATGAAAAATACAACTTTCCTCTAGTTCCTAAATGCTTCTCCCCCTCCCCCCCCACTCCACTATCATGATCTGAATTCTACCTTGCAAGTCTGGCTGGACCAGAGGATGTACACTGGTACAGATAGGAACTGGAAACACAGGGAATCCAGGGTGGATGATCCCTTCAGGACCAGTGGTGTGAGTGGCAATATTGGGAGGGTAGAGGGAGAGTGGGTTGGAAAGAGGGAACCTATTATAAGGATCTATATGTGACCTCCTCCCTGGGGGATGGACAACAAAAAAGTGGGTGAAGGGAGACGTCTGACAGGGAAAGATATGACAAAATAATAATTTATAAATTATCAAGGGCTCAAGAGAGGGGGGGAGTAGGGAGGGAGGGGAAAAATGAGGACCTAATGCCAGGGGCTTAAGTGGAGAGGAAATGTTTGGAGAATGATGAGGGCAATGAATGTACAAATGTGCTTTACACAATTGATGTATGTATGGATTGTGATAAGAGTTGTATGAGCCCCGAATAAAATTATTTTTTTAAAAAAGAAGAAAGAGAAAAAAATATATTTGGTGACCATAAAGCCTTAAGATCCAGAATACATGACGACTCCTACAACTCCACAACAAAAAGGCAAACAATTCAATTTTTTAAATGACTGAAGAACTTGAAGAGATTTCCCCAAAGGAGATATGTAAATGGCCCACAAATGCATGAAAAATGTTTAACATCATTACTCATTAAACAAAGCTCATCACCATCTAATCAATTCTGAACCCCCGTGTGTTTCTGAGACTGTAAATCTTTACAGGAGTAGAAAGCCTCATCCTCCTCCAGCAGGGCAGCTGTGGGTATTGAACTACTGATCTTGGGGTTAGTAGCCCAGTGCATAACCCACTATGCCACCGGGCTCCTCATTAGACATGAGGGAAAAGCAAATCAAAAAACCACAATGAGATTCCACCTCACTCTCAATAGGATGACTATTATCAGAAAGATGGGAAATGAAGTATTAACAAGGAAGTGGAGAAATTGGAACACTCATCAGTTGCTGGTGGGATTGTAAAATGGTGCAGCTGTTGAGAACAGCATAGTCATTCTGAAAAAGGTTGAGCATAGAACTACCATAAATCAAAACCAAACTAGGTGCCTTCAAATCAATTTTGACTCCTGGTGACCCTAAAGGGCCGGGTAGAACTGCCCCGGCGGGTTTCCAAGACGGTAACTCTTTATGGAAGTAGAAAGCCTTGTCTTTCTCCTGAGGCACAGCTGGTGGTTTCAAACTGCTCATCTTCCAGTTCGCAGCCCAGCATATACCCACTATGACACCAGTGCTCCTTAGAACTACCACAGATACGAGCTCTCGACACACAGAACCCAGGACAGATCAACCCCTCAGGAACAGTAATGAGAGAAGCGGTACCAGATCGACGTACAGCCTCCCCCCACAACCCCACCAAGCAGCAGAGGCATGGGCAAAGGGAGACAGTGGACGGTGTAAGATATGAAAATAACAACTTATCATTTATTGGGGCTCCACAAAGGGGAGGGTGGGGGGCAGAGGGAACAAAGGAGCTGGTACCAAGGGCTCAAGTACAAAGAAAATGTATTGAAAATTATGATGATACATGTGTTTGATACAATGGATGTATGGATTGTTTTGAGAGTTGTAAGAGCCCCCAATAAAATGATTTGTTAATGTCCTTCTTAAATTGAAAAAAAAAAACTATCATAAGACACAATTCTATTCCTAAGTATATAACCAAAATAAAACAGGGGTTAAAATAATGTTCATCAATATTCATTGCAGCACCATTTACAATAGCTAAAAAGTGGAAACAACCCAAGTGTGCCCATGAAGAGATAAAAGGATAAATAAAAGGTGACAAATATATGTATATGAATTTTATTCATTTTTAAAGAGAAATACATGAAGCTCTATTATTGTAATGACCTGAATAAAACCTGAAAAGAATAAATCAGACACTGAGACCAAAATGGTATGTTTTCATTTGTGTGAAATACTCAGAATAAGCAATACAAAGAGTTAAAAACTCTTTGGGCTAGTGCTTGCGTAACTGAATTTCTACTGAAGATGGTCAACAGTGGAAAGGGGCAGTGGTGATGGCTCTACAACACGAGAGCATAATTAATGTCACGACATTGCGCACATTAGTATGACCGAGATGGCAAACGGCAGGTGGCTACACGTCACCACAATGAACAGAGCCAGAGGAGCACCTTACCACAAGGAAGTGGGGCCTCCTGCAGTAAGAAATGAAGAGTTCTGGGGAGACGGAAGATGGAATGAAATGATCCTTGAGAAATAACCCTCTGGCAGTGGAGGGAGTAGGAAGCCTAAGGAGATGTGAAGGATGGGGTCAGGTGTTTTGCATGTTTTCACCATCTAACGATGAAGGAAGACAAGTCCAAAGCATTTATTCGTATGGCCAGCCATTTTATTTTGTGCGCATATAATGATACATGATGCTATCTCATGCTACAGATGTTGATGAAGCCAAAGGCCTGGCTGCCTACACCTTACAACGAACAGATCTTGTGGCATGGGACATGCTCTGGTCCTCTAAAGAGACCCGTATGTTGCTGTTAGAAAGAAAAGATGTCAATGTGGAGGCACGTGGCCACTATGGCGGAGTCTCAGGTGAGAATTACCTGGGTGAAGGCGAGTTTGGCAGGTCCAGATACCTGCTATCAATGTGTGTCACTCTCCAGAGTCCCATCTCCCACATTAGGCTCCTGAAAGGGCTTGCTCTGCCTTTTCTGAGTCTCCCAATCCAGGGCTTCCACCTGTAATCTTCACGGTATTGTTCTGCTTCATCTGAATTTTAAAAGTTTGGGGTCTGTTCTGGTCTTGCTTCATCAGTCATGATCGAATCAGTGTGAAGCCCCCATCCTAGGTCTTTCCCTGCCAATCATTTGGAAATCCTCTCCAAAGATGGGCTTCCTTCCCAAAGGGCTAATCTAGCCTTTCCTGGGTTGATCATTCTCTCTGGGTAACTCTCCAAGAGTTAGGCCTTAGTGGCCACCATGCTTACCTGATAAATAAGAGGAATCACATGTAAATAAATAATCTCACCTAGAAACAAGAGAGGTAGGGCAGTGAGAGAACTGAGGAGTGCTTTCAGAGCAGGTTCATCAGTGAACATCACCTTCTCAGAGCGGGTGGCCCTGGCAGTGTTGCCACTACATCCTGGTGTCTGAATCCGTTTACCTAAAGCCCACCCAACACTCTCTGAGCTGCATCCCAGATGCCCTTCAGTGAGCCTGAGCTTCAGACTGAAGCTGGTTGCTTAGAACAGGCATCTGGCCTGGATGGGATCAGCTACTGCGACCCTGTTTGGCTTTGCTGTTGAAGAGATTGGGATAACAAGAGTTTCTACTGCTTTCTAGATTTCCTAGCATCATGCTTCCTATTAATACTCTGATTCATTAAAAAAAAAACAAAAATAAAATCACCTATAAAAATCACAAGAATACAATCTCCTTGAATTAAAAAGTTATTGTTGTGCTTTCCCCCCAGAGAAATCCAGAAGGCTTCTCATCAGAGCCTCTAGTCATCCCTCCATCCAATGAGGCAGAGAGAAGGTACAGGGACCGCTTGTTTCCAACTCTGAGTTCAAAATATCTAGCCCACCAGCCTCCTTCTCAGGCTGGGATTGAACTCTCTACACTTTAGGTATTTGTGAGAGCCTGTAGCTATCAGACCCAGTTCCCTGCCTGGAAGGTTTTACAAAATAATCCTGTGGGTATGAAACCCAATGTATTCCCTTGTTAGTTATTAGTATTATTATTTATTTTCCTTTCCTTTCTCTCTCTGTCTCCCTCACATTTTCTTTTGAATGTAAAATTGTGGGCAGAAAGCCCAGGTCAGCCTGTCTGCACCCTTTGCCAGTGGACTGCATAGCCTGCTGGGCTGCGTGCCTCTGATCACGGAAGCAGACTCAGGCTCGGGGAGGTTCCTCTGGGCTAGAGGAACATGAACTCTTCAGGCGTTTCTTCTCTACTGCCAGGCGCAGAGCCTGAAGGAGCTTGTCCTTGTTGTTCAGGATGTTGTACTCGGAGAGCTTTACCAGCTTGTCAAAGGCGGCTTCCGTGTAGGTCAATTCCTTGGTGGTATAGGGGGTCTTGGGACCATAAATGTCCACCTGGCCCTGCTCCAACTCTTCGGGGCTTCGTTCCACACCTGGGAGGAAGCCAAAGGACTTGTTAGGAATCCTGACTATGTTAGATTATAATGACCTGAATCGCTCCCAGTGGTGCACCCTGCCCACAGACACACGCCCGGATATAAATGTACACACACACACACACTCACACACTCACACACTCACACACTCACACACTCACACACGCAAGTCTCCAAGATCCTTGGGTCAGGGGCACATCTTATCCCTTTTAGGATGACCCAGCACCAAACACAGTGCCTGGTATATACATCGTTAGCTCCCCAAACCAAACACACTAGCATCGAGTGGTTTCTGACTCAGCGATCCCATAGGATGGGGTAGAACTGCCTGTGTGGGATTCTGAGACTGCAAGTCCTTACAGTGGCAGAAAGCCTCGTCTTTTTCCCTGAGGAGCAGCTGGTGGTTTCGAACGGCTGACCATGCAGTTAGCAGCCCAATGTTGAACCACTAGGCCATCAGGGCTGCATACCAATAAATGCTGAACAAACAGATAGGGTATGGTTGCCACCACATGAGGGCAGTCTTGACTTGCTTGCTAAAGCCAAGGCTAGTTAAGACTGGAATGAAAACAGCAAAAAACAAGACAAACAACTCACTGCCATTGAGTAGATTCCAAGTCACAGTGACCTTTATGGGACAGATTACAAATCTCCTCTTTCTCCCGCCACCCCCCCCCAGGGGCAACTGGTGGTTTTGAACTCCTGACCCTGCAGTTAGCAAGCAACCCAAGATGTACCCCATTTGGCCAGCAGGACTCCAGTTAGAACTATGGCAGTTATTAAAGTGAATACAGGCTAGCAGGAGACAGATTCATGGAAGACATCACTCGTCTACAGTCGGGCACTCTCATTCCAAGGCCAGTGGGTGCTGGGCACCCAGGGGGAGGTGACTTACCCGGGGCCTTGTACTTCTCGAAGGTGTCGTTGATGAGCGGGAAGAAAATCACGATGGGGGCATCGATTTCCTCGGGGTTCTCCATCAGGTAGCATTCCTTTAGATTGTCTTCTTCACCCTCCAAGGTGTATCTGGGGAAGGGGATGTTCTGCACACAGCAGTACTCGCAGGTCTGCTTCATGGGCTGCAGGATCACAGAAAGACATATTTGGGTGTCAGGTGGGGAGGCAAGAAACAGAGTTCTTAGAGCTATCTTCCTGATTCGCCCAGGTAACAACCCAGTCGCCAGCCAGTTTGGGTCATCTGGGATATTTTTAGAAGAAAGCCAGCTCAGGACAAAGGGCCCAGGGTAATGGATTGACACAAGACTGACGGCAAGTGCTTTCCCCAAATGAAAGGGACAAAGTCCATCTCCATACTGTTTCACTGAAACACAAACTTGGGTGGTATGGACAGCAGGCTGGGAGAGTGGCCAGGGCTGGGCCGGGTACAGCTCTGGCTGGCTGTCCCTGTGGGATATGGGTGGGCAGTGTCACAGGGCTGGAAAAGGACATTGAAGGAGCATCTTTATAGATTGCACTGGGCGGAGAGGGTCAAAAGTCCCTTCATTCTATCCCGATTCCACTGTTCTGCCAGTCGCACCTGCTGCCAGCCACTTCCCCTCCCTGTGCCGGCTTCAGAGCAGGTGGGAGGGTCAAATGGGAGGGAGGGGGCCAGGTTATTGTCACATACAGGGTCAGTCCATTATCCTGGTCCTCTGACTACACCCTCCCCTCTCCTGGGCTTCAGGAAAGGACTATTCGAAGTTGGACCCAAATAAAGTCCCCGCCCCCCTCCCCGAAAGGAACAAGACTTCTAAAATAAAAATAAATGAAAAGCCCTGGTCCTGGTTCGTTCATTTAACTCCAATGAGGCGGGCGTTCCCTGGGCATGTGGGCGTGATCACCTTAAAAATAGGGCAGTCACGCTCGGGGAGTGGTAGAAAGCTTGCGAAATTTATCAAAGTTATTTTTAAACCTCCTTACCTCACTCTACCCTCCCACCCCTACCCGCTCTTTCCCAAGTTTTTTGGGAAGAACTGTTAAACATAGCAAAAGCTCAAGTCCGAGAATAAAACTGGAATTTGCTGATTGGGGTTGTGGAAACCCCAAGCTGGCCACCCCTCTGAAGTCTGACTGCTATGATTGCATGCCAGGTTCCGGGGTGCAGGCGTGGAATCCGTGGCTACACACGCACGAGCATGCACGCAGGAGCACGAGCACGCACGCAGGAGCACGCACGCACGCATGTGCTCCCGTCTCCCAAGCC